TTCCCAAGGCTTTACAAGATCTGAAGGTAAATTCAAAGTTCCTTTTTGCATTGGTTTGGTTAGTCTGTCTAATGTTGTAAAAGCTTGTTGAAAATTGAACTGATTTCCCCCCCTAAAAAATTCCTTATGTGGTTTTGTTTTATGACAGGAAGAAGGTCTCAGTAATAATTTCAAAATGTTGGATGGAAACAACAATGCAAAGGTAAGCATAAAGTTTTTTTAACTGTTTTTGTTTCTGTTTATCGAATTGTTTTGCTTTGCTTATGGAAACCTTCTGATATGGATGGTTTCAGATCTTAGATGATGATGACGATGATGAAGAGGATGAAGGCTTCACCAATCCCAACACTGGGAGCCAGACTGAGACTTCAAGATCTAGCTCTATTATCAAGTCTTCGTCCTCGAAAGTTGGTAAAATTTCAATTACATCAACTTTGTTCCTTGTAGTTCCCTAAGATCTTGATGTTTTCTGTAACAATTTATCGAAATGGTTGCGCTAACAATTAATCTTAAAGAGCCTGATTTTAGTTAAAAGTAATGGTGTTTTAATATGCAACTGTTGAAGGAATCTTACAGATTATCTTCTGATGCCTGCAGATAACCGAAGGGAAAAATCCCTGGGGCTACTTACTCAGAATTTTGTTAAGCTATTTCTCTGTTCCAATGTGAGCCTTGTTCATGCTCTTTATGAATTGCCATTGTATTACTTTGGTTTGGCCATCATTTTGATGTTTCTGGGTAAATTCTTTTCAGGCTGAACTGATTTCCCTTGATGAAACAGCGAGGTTGTTGCTTGGGAATGCTCATAATACTTCAGTAATGAGAAGTAATAAACCACAACTTTTCCTCTTCATTGTGAATTTCTAAACTTATAGAAAGCAATAGCAGATTGACTAATTTGTTGTTCACTTGATGGTTCAACAGCAAAAGTAAGGCGGTTGTATGACATTGCAAATGTGTTGTCTTCCATGAATCTTATTGAGAAGGTAAACACAAAACTGAGATCTAGAAAGGGCTTAAAATCACTGAAAACTTCAATTTGTGCAGCTTGGAATGGTTATAACTTGCGGTTTAAATGAATGTTTGTGCAGACCCACACTTTAGATACCCGAAAACCTGCATTTAGGTGGTTGGGGTTGAGGGAGAAATCAGAAAAAGGAACTGCAGATGATGCTTTTGTTCTTAATGAGTCCAAGAAAAGGGTGTTCGGAACCGATGTCACCAACATCAGTTTCAAGAAGAGTAAGCTCGATACTTCAAATGATCAGAATCCCAACCAGTGCATTAAGCCGAAAAAGCATGAAAAAGTCGAAATTTTGGCTGATAGAAGTTGCTCAGAGGATTCAAAACAAGGTTCAAAGAGCTATCAATTTGGTCCTTTTGCTCCTATAAACTTGACCAAGATTGGTAACTCTGAGAATGGTGCAAAGCCGGTTCATGACTGGGAGAGTCTTGCTTCTACATACCGCCTTCAGTACCACAATCAAGGTAAGGTATAGATTAGTTCTCAACTATACTGAACTGTTAATATCACATGCTAATTTGTTGACCTATTGCTTTTTGTTTAGAATTGTTCCAATACAAAAATCTAAGTTTGCTGTCATGTTTGCAGCTTTAAGGGATCTTTTCTCTCATTACATGGAAGCCTGGATATCATGGTACTCGGAAGTTGCTGAGAAAAATCCAATACAACAGATCTCCTAAGAAATACCACATGCTGCAATTGGGAAGCATTCTTTTCCTAACCCTGAACTATCCTCTTAGCTATTTGTTTCTTTTAGGTATAAGAGATTGATCTCTTGTTGGATGCATTTTCTCTTTGCACCAATTTGCTTGGCAACACATTTGTACACAAATTCGCCCCAAGTCCAAGCATTATGTCCTAGACAATTTACATAATCAATTGTCATTTTTCGGTTTATATGATAAATTTGACGAGCTATTACTTTTTTTTTCTTTGATATTGTGCGGAAATAATTGACTTGTTGATCGGTCTGCTGTTTGCTCGAGGCCAAAGGTTAGTTCAAAAATATTTGAAGTTTGTTTTTAATTTGAGCTTGGCCTGGCAAACTATTTTTTAAGGGTAAATTACATGGTTAGCAACTAAACTATTACTTTTGTTCTATTTTGGTACTTCAATTTTATTTGTTTCAAAATCATATCTAAAGTCTGTTTTTTGTTATGTTTTGGTACCATTAGCAGAATTGTTATAACATGATAATTTCAAATGGGTGTAAATTATATAATAAATCACTCAATTATCTTCTTACTCTCAATGAAGTTTATTTTTTTTAAAATTTAATTATTTAACTTTCAAATTACTCTTACTATAATAAATCTAACTTTAAATTTATATTTTATTTTAATTATATATTAATAAAATTATAATAAAAAATGTTATGTCACAAAAAATATTAATAAAATAAATTAGTGACTAAAACATGAGTAATTTTAAAGTTGAGTAGTTAAATTGAAATTTTTAAACTTTAGTTGTTAAAATATGAGTAATTTGAAAGTTGAGTAGTTAAATTGAAATTTTTAAACTTTAGTGATTAAAATATGAGTGAAAAGATATTTGAGTGATGAATATTGTAATTTTCCCATAAAAAATAACATGTACAACATTTGTGTAGTTTAGCCTAAATAAACCAAACACTAATCTCATTGTTCGAAACTATATTTTTCATTTTTTGAATGTTAATCTTCAAAATAATTTAATAAAATTTCAAGAAAAATTATTCTTTTACTCACACCTGAAGTAAGTGTTAGAGTAAGTCGTCTTTCATACAATAATATTTTTATTGGAATTTTGAAACGGATCTAATAAAAAGTTTGATTAAGTAAATCTTGGTATGAATGACCCCTTATGTTTTTTTATGTAGCTTTGATGACGATTGCTTAATCTGTTTACTTGAAATAAAAATAAATAACATGTACATGCACATGCGATGCATATAATGCCAATACAAATAAGTCAAAATGCTTAAAATGTTACCACATACGTTTTGTTTCTTTTTCGATTAGAGTATATATATATATATATATATATATATATATTTAAAAATGAATATAATATAAAAGTTTCTGAATAACTTGGGACTAAAATGAAATGGACGTGTTTATATAAAATGAAAAGGTACATGAGTTACATTTACTTTGTATTTTTCCTCTTTTTATTCCCAAAAAAACATTTAAATCATAGGGGTAGGGTTTTCTGGTACGGAGGTAGAACATGCAATCGGATTTTGTTTGCCAGTAACTTTTGGTTTAATATTTTTACATTTGGATTTTGCAGGTCCATCCAGTCCACTAAACGTAATGTCAATGTCGACGAGTTCTACATTTTCGCGTGGAAAAGTACAACTGCAAACGAGTTTAACAACTTCTGGAAGCATTGCCGTACCATGAATGTTCTTGAAGCTGATGTTACTTAGTAAGACGTCTTACATACAATAATATTTTATTGGAATTTTGAAACGGATCTAATAAAAAGTTTGATTAAGTAAATCTTGGTATGAATGACACCTTATGTTTTTTTATGTAGCTTTGATGACGATTGCTTAATCTGTTTACTTGAAATAAAAATAAATAGCGTGTACAAGCACATGCGATGCACGTAATGCCAATACAAATAAGTCAAAATGCTTAAAATGTTACCACATACGTTTGATTTCTTTTTCGATTAAATTATATATATATATATATATATTTAAAAATGAATATAATATAAAAGTTTCGGAATAACCTGGGATTAAAATGAAATGGACGAGTTTATATAAAATGAAAAGGTACATGAGTTACATTCACTTTGTTTTTTTCCTCTTTTTATTGCCAGCCAACATTTTAAACCGTAGGGGTAGGGTTTACTGGTACGAGGGTAGAACATGCAACCGGATTTTGTTTGCCAGTAACTTTTGGTTTAACATTTTTACATTCGGATTTTGCAGGTCCATCCGGTCCACTAAACGTAATGTCAATGTAGGCGACTTCTACATTTTCGCATGGAAAAGTACCACTGTAAACGAGTTTGACAACTTTATATACATTTTTGATTTATACATTTTTAAGGCAGCGACGTCATCAATTCTACAAATCTATAAAAGAAACAAAAACTTCTCGACACATTTATCTACTTATTTTATGATAAGACATTTCACATACAACTTTTATAAAATAATATTTTTAATAAGATGCCTCAAAAATTGAATACTATAAAATTCTATTAAACTAAACGAAGAAATAGATGTCAAAATACAACTAATTTCATTAGAAGTTAAAAAAGTTCGCAAACAAGAACCGATATTTTAAAAAATATATTTTATTCAAAATTAGATATTATATTCGAAATATAAGATTTAGTTTTTTAAGAAAATTAAATATTAAAAAATGGAATTAATAATTTGACATTTAATTTAAAAACGAATAGTCGAGTTGACAAATTTTAATGTACTCGAACCACAATTTTGTTTTATTGGCTTGGACGTGTAAAGTAAACCAAACTCTAATCTTAGTGCTCGAAACTATATTTTTCAATTTTTGGAAGTTAATCTTCAAAATAATTTAATAAATTTTCAAGAAAAATTATTCTCTTATTCGCACCCGAAGTAAGAGTTAGAGTAAGACGTCTTCCATATAATAATATTTTATTGGTATTTTGAAACGGATCTAATAAAAAGTTTGATTAAGTAAACCTTGGTATGAATGACACCTTGTGTTTTTTATGTAGCTTTGATGACGATTGCTTAATATGTTTACTTTAAATAAAAATAAATAGCGTGTACATAAATATGCGATGCACATAATGTCAATACAAATAAGTCAAAATGCTTAAAATGTTATCACATACGTTTTGTTTCTTTTTTCAATTAAATTATATATATATATATATATATATATATATATATATTTAAAAATGAATATAATATAGAAGTTTCTGAATAACTCGGGATTAAAATGAAATGGACGCGTTTATATAAAATGAAAAGGTACATGAGTTACATTCACTTTGTTTTTTTCCCTCTTTTTATTGCCAGCCAACATTTAAATCGTAGGGGTAGGGTTTGCTGGTACGGGGTAGAACAAGCAACCGGATTTTGTTTGCCAGTACCTTTTGGTTTAACATTTTTACATTCGGATTTTGCAAGTCCATCCGGTCCACTAAACGTAATGTCCATGTCAACGAGTTCTATATTTTCGCATGGAAAAGTACCACTGCAAACGAGTTTAACAACTTCTTGAAGTGCAACTGTACCAATAATGTTCTTGAAGCTGATGTTGCTTAGTTTAACATTCGAGTTTGCCTGCAAGATCAAAGTACTTGTCAGATTATTGATAAACTATTTTCATTATATTGGGTTTCTTTACAAGTATGAACATATATCCATTTTGCTTTTATTCCATGGGCAGTATTTATGGTCAATCAGGATGGGACAACTAACATTTTTCACGGTAATATCCTCAAAATGCATATATGATGCTGTGCTAGGAAATTGATCTGCCCAAGTCTTGATTCCAACACCATTCGAAGTATCTGTCAAGGTACACTTCGACACTTTAATTCCTTCAACAGGTTCTTCATTTGCAAACTTTCCAAGACTATCGATACTGATGCCATATCCGGGTCCACAAGTTACTCCCGTGATGTCCATATACTAATGCACATTAGTGTGGAACTGTTTGCTATCTCTTAGAGTTATACCTTGTACCATTGCATTGGTCAAATAATCAAACATTACATTATGTTTAACTTCAGAGTTAAAAGAGTCACGAGAAGAAATATGTATTAGTTATAACTACTAAGAAGAATATCTAATTCTTGTGAAAGGTAAGAAACCTTACGATGGGGAGGTTACTACAAAAGTCGTGTTTTTCACAATCTTATCTCTTATAAGAAGTGGTCCCTTGTCCATCGAAAGCTCCTCCACCGAACAATTTGAAGTTTTCAACATGAAGAAAGCTAACCCATTTAGGCTCCTTGAAAGCTTTAGGATCAGCTGGTGCTTTTACATTGCCCTCAAGTTGAAGCTCAATAGGAGCTTTTGTAACCCCTTAGACCGATAGGGTAACCCGATCCTATCTGGGGTGTCACATTAGGGCCACAGGAACGACCTACCGTAAAAATCTCTGAAAATTTTAAACTTTTATCAAAACATGAAAACTCATAAAATGATTTATCATTACTCAGAAATAAAACTTATTTTCAGACTCATATATAAAATAAAATTCAATTTACATGCCCCCTAATTACATGTACCATACTCTACAAATAACACCGAACGAACTCCCTTACTGATGTTTATAGTTGCACTGGTTCAATCCTTTTAACCTGAAAAGGTGAGTAACAGAGTGAGCTTTGGAAAGCTCAGTAATACAAAACTACCAGATGATGTTGAAGAATATGCAGATACATATAAACATTATTGGTTTAGAAAACTATAGATTTTTAGGCTAAGCTAAGGTCCCACTGATATCTCAGGTAGTAACAGACAATAAGTTTTCAATTCAGAGGAAAATATTTCGGATGACTAGGTTTAGGAGATCAGGGTAGGTTATCTAGTGTGTTCCCACAAAACCAGTGAAAAGATATATATATTTTTAAAACATATTTTTAAAATTCAAAAACCATAGTAATTCCCTCAACCGAACACGTCCAAAATGTGTAGGTTCCCCAGAACCATACACCCACCTTCACGTCCAGTAAGGACTTGAGCACAAAGTCGAGGAGCCTGCATGTATGCTTCCTCCAACAATACCCCCCAAATAAAATATTTTTCCGTCAGTAAACAGAGATATAAGAAATCAAAACATAATTCATGTCAAATATCAGAACATAATCCAGGCCAGAAATTAGATAAAATATTCATGTGATTAGGGAACACACTAGAGTTTCCAGATATTATTCAGAGATATTGGATAATCTTATTAGGCAGAGAAACACGAATCTTCAGTATACTAATAGAATGTCAGAATTTAGAATCACTATTAGAAGAGTTCATTAACTGTCAGAATCATCGGTTATTCAGAATGTGATTTGAGCTGATAAGGAAGAAATGAAGGTTCAGGACATTTACATTTTGTGTCGATCTATCTGATTATCGAAATAACTCCCAGAATTAATGCATATTGATCGGTCATTCGTTGCCCTTTCAGTTATTCACTCTTTAATACCAATAATTCTTGTCCATAAATCATCTTCTGAGTCATCGCTGAATGGATATTAAGGAGACGAACATATATTCTAATGGTCTTTATTTCATTTACATGTTTCAACTATATCAGGAAATGCCAATGTACATGATTTATGGTTCATAACCCATAGGGATGTTACATCATGTAAGTTCGTCCGAGTTTCCAGACTTATCCTAATCACTTACTTAATCCTCAGTCATTGAGGTTACATAGTTCATTTAGTAGTCAAGTCTATCTCAGTTACTCCAGAGTTTTCCAGAGTAATTCAGATGTTTCTGAATTTCGGATACACATTGTACTTTCGTTCAATTCAATTTGGTGTTCGTTGTTGATTTGTCTAACGAATATCCATTTCATAGTATCAAATGCGCTCTAGAGTTGAGCTGAGCCGAGTACTTCCAGAATTATCATCGATCCAAATTGAGGAGACGAACAACGATTCAAGTGGTATCTATGCCATTAAGGTACTGACATAACATTAGCGTTGGTCGACCGCCTTAAGCTGTGTTCCATAACTTTTAAGGGTAGTACAACATCCATTTTTATTTGTATTCCTTAATTAATCCAAGACATTTACTTGTTATAGGTCATAAGGGTATTTTCATCATTTTGGTGCTAAACGTTATTTCAGTCATTTCATAGGTTGAGGATATTCAATCATTCCTAGGCTTGGTGATATTCTTGGGTCATTTACTATCCAAGGGAATTTTGGTCATTTTACAGTTCAAAGTATTTTAATCTTTTCTTTCCATCTGATCTTATTATTTAATTAAAACTTATCATATATTTCAGTCATTTCAAACATTTTTGACAAAGATGCACCCTCGATAACTTATTCTTCAGGTATTTACTTATAACTCGGAGATCTTCGAGTCAAATGCCTTCTCAGATTTTACGAACGAATTTTCAAGAAATTTCTATACCAAAGTAGGATCTTAATAATTAAATCAATAATTTATCGGTTTAGGTACAAATTCTCAGGGTACTTTCTCATTTAGAGTCAACTCGGACTATTTTTACCTCTTAAGGGCATTTTCGTAATTCCTTAACCAGGTAATTTCGGTATTAAAACTCTTAACAAGGATAAATATAATTTAGAGATCTTAGGGTTAATTGCTTTTTCGAATAATCTCTGAACTTGAAATTATTCCTTATCAAATTTCTAATTCCTTGTACAAGTCATTAGAATTTTATTCAGTTACCGACTTTTTATCGCATTTGTATCGAGTGTAGGAATTAATTAACTACCCAGATAATGCCAAACATTTCCTTATTCATGAATTTACTATTACCAACATATTTCATAAAGCATGAAAAGGTAGTAATATATTACCTTGATTTCCGTGCTATACTGATCGACCATTTAAACTGCATTCAAACGCCCTCGATCTTGAAATCAACTTCCAATAATTCCTCAGATACATATAAACAACAATTTCATAAAAAATAGAGCTTAATTACAAAAAAGGATCGAATCATGTGATTAATCACTGAAAAATAGCTTAACAGGTTCGAATTTGGTGAAACAGACCTTAAAAACGGACTTAGGACGTCGAAAAACGTCAGGATAGGTGTACCCAGAAAAAGTCAACGGCCGGTCAATGGCGGTCAACGACTCAGTCAAGGCGGTTCAGTCGGCTCGGTCGATTCACTCTCCAGGCTGCCAGACAAGGCCCACGTGCAGGGGGTGGCGCGTGCGGCGCGTGCGACGTCTCTAGTGGTCGTTTCGGTGTGAAATTTTCCAGTCTTGTAGATCGATACCTCGGGATTCTTATGCAAGTGTTATTTTTCAACGAAGCATAACGGATTTTAGAATTTTAAAACGTACGAACCTCTCCAACTATGGCCGGCGAGTGACGACGATGAAGCAACAACAGTACGACGATTTAGGTCAGGTTTTCAGTGCACGGTGATGGTGAGTCTGATGGTATAGGAAATGTTATGAACGGGTGGGCGGATCTACTAGAATTGACGGAAAACCAATGACCATCGAGTTAAAACCGACAAAGCTTTCAATTGTTTTTTATGGCAAATAATGCCGATTCACAATGGGATAGAGATCGGGTTCTGTTCACCGTTCGATGGTAAGTCTATTAGTGGTTTCAGATCAGCGAACGATGGCCGGAAGGTGGAGAATCGGAGCTAAAAAAGGGGTCGATGGGGGGAGATAATTTACGGAAAACTTTTGGGGGGCTTTGTTTCTGGTTTATAATAAGAAACCAAAATTTAAACATTTCAACATATTCTCTGCCGAAACAAAATGGGTAAATTCGGGTTCAAGTCCCTAAATTTTCCTACACTTCCTAAAATATTATGCCAACTTTTTGAGTTTACACTTTAATCCTAAATTTCTTCAAAAATGCCATTCTAATTCAATACTTTATAATTTCTAAAACATATCCCCTAAATTAGGTATGACAGCCTTGCAAGGACCTTCCATCGTTGCTTGACTTAACAAATATGTCCCTTCAGGAATCAAAATTGTTGTTGGAGCTGTTGAACCACAAGCTTCTTTCCAAGCATCCAACAATGGCTAAAACAAAATAGATTAATAAAGAAGTTATACATGTTTTCACCGTTAGAGTATTAAAGTGAGCTATAATTTCTCTTACCTTACTCAAATCTGTATTCAAGTAAGCCTTTGCACCAAACTTAGCTACGACATCAAGAGCAGCTGCTTGAGCTTGCATGGCTGCAAGGAATAAATTTAATATTATAGACACTGTACAAACAACAATAAAATTTATTGCCATATCTTTTATTTTATTTTCACTTGAAGGTAGAATGGTTTTTCCTTTTGTTTACTTTCAAATATATAGAGATGTTTGGGCAAACTACAACCAACCAAAATTTTCAACCAAACCTTTTTCAAATTTAACCAACGTGTGTAAATCGTACGGCTAGACTTTACTTTCTATGATTAGCTTGTGTTTTTATATACACCTGGCTCGGCTGGATAAATTTTTGGTTAGTTTGTTCAAAAACTTGAATCATGCAAATTAAGTAAAAGTATTTTTATCAATATTACTTAAAAATTGTTTTGGGACTAGATCGAGACACGATCCAACACAACAGTAAACATGCCTAATGTTTAGCTTCTAAAAAACTTAACTTGACATTTTCCTAATACATAATTGTTTAGTATTCATATAGCTAATTTCTAATTCTAAAGTATATCTCGTACTCATAAAAACTTTGAAACTCAATCATCTACAAAAGAACGTGAAAAATAGTTCACACAGTTGTTTGTTTTAAAATTTTTAATCGACTTAGTGATTGTGTTAAATCAAAATGTTCAAACTTGATTACATCGAATTGACATTAGCACAGGGACGGGGAAGTAAACTTTAATACGTCAAACCACACATTCCAATTGGAACAATTACCTAATTTCCTAAAAGTAAAAGTAGAATGACTAAATTTAAAATGTACGAAGGAGCAAAAGAAATTACAACATATTGAAAGCTTTTCCATAATAAATATATACTACATAATTGATTTATACAATTTTAAGGCAGCGGCGTCATCAATTCTACAAATCTTTAAAAGAAACTAACAACTTCTCGACACTTTTATCTACATATTTTATGATAAGACATTTCACATACAACTTTTATAAAATAATATTTTTAATAAGATGCCCCAAAAATTGAATACTATAAAATTCTATGAAACTAAACGAAGAAATAGATGTCAAAATACAACTAATTTCATTAGAAGTTAAAAAAGTTGGTAAACAAGAACCGATATTTTAAAAAATATATTTTATTCAAAATTAGATAATATATTCGAAAAATAAGATTTAGTTTTTAAGAAAATTAAATATTAAAAAATGGAATTAATAGTTTGACATTTAATTTAAAAATGAATAGTCGAGATGACAAATTTTAATGTACTCGAACCACAATTTTGTTTTATTGGCATGCATGTGTAAAGTAAACCAAATTCTAATCTCAGTGCTCGAAACTATATTTTTTAGTTTTTGGAAGTTAATCTTCAAAGTAATTTAATAAATTTTCAAGAAAAATTATTCTCTTACTCACACCCGAAGTAAGCGTTAGAGTAAGACGTCTTTCATACAATAATGTTTTATTGAATTTTGAAACGGATCTAATAAAAAGTTTGATTAAGTAAACCTTGGTATGAATGACACCTTTTTTTTTATGTAGCTTTGACGACGATTGCTTAATCTGATTACTTGAAATAAAAATAAATAGCGTGTACATACAAATGCGATGCACTTAATGCAAATACAAATAAGTCAAAATGCTTAAAATGTTACCACATACGTTTTGCTTTTTTTTTTCCAATTAAATTATATATATATATATATATTTAAAAATAAATATAATATAATAGTTTCTGAATAAATTTGAATTAAAATGAAATGGACGCGTTTATATAAAATTAAAAGGTACATGAGTTACATTCACTTTGTTTTTCCCTCTTTTTATTGCCAACCAACATTTAAGTTATAGGGGTAGGGTTTACTGGTACGGGGTAGAACATTCAACCGGATTTTGTTTGCCAGTAACTTTTGGTTTAACATTTTTACATTCGGATTTTGCAGGACCATTCGGTCCAGTAAACGTAATGTCAACGTCGGCGAGTTTTACATTTTCGCATGGAAAAATTCCACTGCAAACGAGTTTGACAACTTCTGGAAGCGCAGCCGTACCATGATTGTTCTTGAAGTTGATGTTGCTTAGTTTAACATTTGATTCTGCCTGCAAGATCAAAGTACTTGTCGGATTATTGATTAACTCTTTTCATTATATTGGGTTTTTTTTACAAGTATGTACATACATCCATTTTGCATTTATTCCATGGGCAGTATTTCTGGTCAATCAGGACGGGACAACTAACATTCTTCACGGTGATATCCTCAAAATACATATATGATGCTGTGCCAGGAAATTCACTTGCCCAAGTCTTGATTCTAACACCATTCGAAGTATTAGTCAAGGTACACTTCGACACTTTAATTCCTTCAACAGGTTCTTCGTTTGCAAACTTTCCAAGACTACCGATACTGATGCCATGTCCAGGTCCACAAGTTACTCCCGTGATGTCCAGATTTTTGGCACCATCCCCAATTGAAATACAATCATCCCCAATTGAAATACAATCATCACTAGTTTTAATATCCGTGTCTATAATTTTAACCCCATCTGATCTCCCAATGTGAATCCCATCTGTGTTTGGGCTATCTTTAGGTGCGGATACAGTGACAAGTTCGAAAGTAATATTTTTACATCCTAAAACATTAGCGTGGAACTATTTTCTATCTCTGAGAGTTATACCTTGTACCATTGCATTGGTCAAATAATCAAACCTTACATTATGTTTATTTCGGAGTTAAAAGAGTCACGAGAAAAAAATATTTATTAGTTATAACTACTAAGAAAAATATCAAATTCTTGCGAAAGGTAAGAAACCTTACGATGGGGAGGTTACTACAGAAGTCGTGTTTTTCGCAACATTCTCTCTTATAAGAAGTGGTTTCTTATCCATCGAAAGCTCATCCACCGAATAATTTGACCTTTTCAATATGAAGGAAGCTAACCCATTTAGGCTCCTTGAAAGCTTTAGGATCAGCTGGTGCTTTTACGTTGCCCTCAAGTTGAAGCTTAATAGGAGCCTTTCAAGGACCTTCCAGCGTTGCTTGACTTAACAAATATGTCCCTTCAGGAATCAAAATTGTTGTTGGAGTTGTTAAACCACAAGCTTCTTTCCAAGCATCCAACAATAGCTAAAACAAAATAGATTAATAAAGAAATTATACATGTTTTCACCGTTAGAGTATTAAAGTGAGCTATAATTTTGCTTACCTTACTGAAATCTGTATTCAAGTTAGTTTTTGCGCCAAACTTAGCTACGACATCAAGAGCAGCTGCTTGAGCTTGCATGGCTGCAATGAATAAATTTAATATTATAGACACTATACAAACAACAATAAAATTTATTGCCATATCTTTTATTTTATTTTCACTTAAAGGTAGAATGGTTTTTCCTTTTGTTTACTTTCAAATATATAGAGATGTTTGGGCAAACTACAACCAACCAAAATTTTCAACCAAACCTTTTTCAAATTTAACCAACGTGTGTAAATTGTATGGCTAGACTTTACTTTCTATGATTAGCTTGTGTTTTTATATACACCTGGCTCGACTGGATAAATTTTTGGTTAGTTTGTTCAAAAACTTGAATCATGCAAATTAAGTAAAAGTATTTTTATCAATATTACTTAAAAAAGTGTTTTGGGACTATATCAAGACACAATCCAATATAACAGTAAACATTCATAATGTTTAGTTTCTAAAAAACTTAACTTGACATTTTCCTAATACATAGTTGTTTAGTATTCATATAACTAATTTCTAATTCTAAAGTATATCTCGTACTCATAAAACTTTGAAACTCAATCATCTACAAAAGAACCGTGAAAAATAGTTCACACAGTTGTTTGCTTTAAAATTTTCAATCGACTTAGTGATTGTGTTAAATCAAAATGTTAAAACTTGATTACATGGAATTGACATTAGCACAGGGAAGGGGAAGTAAACTTTAATACACCAAACCACACATTCCAATTGGAATAATTACCTAATTTACTAAAAGTAAAAGTAGAATGAGTAAATTTAAAATGTACGAAGGTGCAAAAGAAATTACAACATATTGAAACCTTTTCCATAATAAATATATACTACATAATTGATTTATACATTTTTAAGGCAACGGCGTCATCAATTCTACAAATCTGTAAAAGAAACAGAAACTTCTCGACACATTTATCTACTTATTTTATGATAAGATATTTTACATACAACTTTTATAAAATAATATTTTTAATAAAATAACCCAAAAATTGAATACTATAAAATTATATGAAACTAAACGAAGAAATAGATGTCAAAATACAACTAATTTCATTAGAAATTAAAAAAGTTTGTAAACAAGAACCGATATTTTAAAAAATATATTTTATTCAAAATTAGATAATATATTCGAAATATAAGATTTAGTGTTTAAGAAAGTTAAAATTAAAAAATGGAATTAATAGTTTGACATTTAATTAAAAAATGAATAGTCGAGATAACAAATTTTAATGTACTCGAACCACAACTTTGTTTTATTGGCATGCACGTGTAAAGTAAACAAACTCTAATCTCAGTGCTCAAAACTATATTTCTTAGTTTTTGGAAGTTAATCTTCAAAGTAATTTAATAAATTTTCAAGAAAAATTATTCTCTTACTCACACCCGAATTAAGCGTTAGAGTAAGACGTCTTTCATACAAAAATATTTTATTGGAATTTTGAAACAGATCTAATAAAAAGTTTGATTAAGTAAACCTTGGTATGAATGACACCTTGTTTTTTTTATGTAGCTTTGATAACGATTGCTTAATCTGTTTACTTGAAATAAAAATAAATAGCGTGTACATACACATGCGATGCACTTAATGCAAATACAAATTAGTCAAAATGCTTAAAATGTTACCACATACGTTTTGCTTGTTTTTTCAGATTAAATTATATATATATTTAAAAATAAATATAACATAATAGTTTCTGAATAACTTGGGATTAAAATGAAATGGACGCGTTTATATAAAACGAAAAGGTACATGAGTTACATTCACTTTGTTTTTTCCCTCTTTTTATTGCCAGGCAACTTTTAAACCATAGGGGTAGGGTTTGCTGGTACGAGGTAGAACATGCAACCGGATTTTGTTTGCCAGTAACTTTTGGTTTAACATTTTTACATTCGGATATTGCAGGACCATCCGGTCCACTAAACGTAATGTCAACGTCGGTAAGTTTTACATTTTTGCATGGAAAAATTCCACTGCAAACGAGTTTGACAACTTCTGGAAGCGCAGCCGTACCATGAATGTTATTGAAGCTGATGTTGCTTAGTTTAAAATTCAATTCTTCCTACAAGCTCAAAGTACTTGTCGGATTATTGATTAGCTCTTTTCTTTATATTGGGTTTTTTACAAGTATGTACATACATCCATTTCGCATTTATTCCATGGGCAATATTTCTGGCCAATCAGGACGGGAAAACTAACATTCTTCACGGTGATATCCTCAAAATACAAATTTGATGCTGTTCCTGGAAATTCACTTTCCCAAGTCTTGATTCTAACACCATTCGAAGTATCAGTCAAGGTACACTTCGACACTTTAATTCCTTCAACAGGTTCTTTGTTTGCAAACTTTCCAAGACTACCGATACTGATTCCATGTCCAGGTCCACAAGTTACTCCCGTGATGTCTAGATTTTTGGCACCATCTCCAATTGAAATACAATCATCACCAGTTTTGATATCCGTGTCTATAATTTTAACTCCATCTGATCTCCCGATGTCAATCCCATCTGTGTTTGGGCTATCTTTAGGTGCAGGTACAGTGACATGTTCGAAAGTAATGTTTTTACATCCCAAAACCTTAGCGTGGAACTGTTTTCTATGTCTGAGAGTTATACCTTGTACCATTGCATTGGTCAAATAATCAAACCTTACATTATGTTTAATTTCAGAGTTAAAAGAGTCACGAGAAAAAAATATGTATTAGTTATAACTACTATGAAAAATATCAAATTCTTGCAAAAGGTAAGAAACCTTATGATGGGGAGGTTACTACAGAAGTCGTGTTTTTTACAACCTTCTCTCTTATAAGAAGTGGTTCCTTATCCATCGAATGCTCATCCACCGAACAATTTGATGTTTTCAATATGAAAGAAGCTAACCCATTTAGGCTCCTTGAAAGCTTTAGGATCAGCTGGTGCTTTTACATTGCCCTCAAGTTGAAGCTCAATAGGAGCCTTTCAAGGACCTTCCAGCGTTGCTTGACTTAACAAATATGTCCCTTCAGGAATCAAAATTGTTGATGGAGTTGTTGAACCACAAGCTTCTTTCCAAGCATCCAACAATGACTAAAACAAAATAGATTAATAAAGAAATTATACATGTTTTCACCGTTACAATATTAAAGTGAGCTATAATTTTGCTTACCCTACTAAAATCTGTATTCAAGTCAGCCTTTCCGCCAAACTTAGATATGACATCAAGAGCAGCTGCTTGAGCTTGCATGGCTACAATGAATAAATTTAATATTATAGACACTATGCAAACAACAATAAAATTTATTGCCATATCCTTTATTTTATTTTCACTTAAAGATAGAATGGTTTTTCCTTTTGTTTACTTTCAAATATATAGAGTTGTTTGGGCAAACTACAACCAACCAAAATTTTCAACCAAACCTTTTTCAAATTTAACCAACGTGTGTAAATTGTATGGCTAGACTTTACTTTCTATGATTAGCTTGTGTTTTTATATACACCTGGCTCAACTGGATAAATTTTTGGTTAGTTTGTTCAAAAACTTGAATCATGCAAATTAAGTAAAAGTATTTTTATCAATATTACTTAAAACGTGTTTTGGGACTATATCGAGACACAATCCAATATAACAGTACACATGCATAATGTTTAGTTTCTAAAAAACTTAACTTGACATTTTCCTAATACATAATTGTTTAGTATTCATATAACTAATTTCTAATTCTAAAGTATATCTCGTACTCATAAAAACTTTGAAACTCAATCATCTACAAAAGAACCGTGAAAAATAGTTCACACAGTTGTTTGCTTTAAAATTTTCAATCGACTTAGTGATTGTGTTAAATCAAAATGTTAAAACTTGATTACATGGAATTGACATTAGCACAGGGAAGGGGAAGTAAACTTTAATACGTCAAACCACACATTCCAATTGGAATAATTACCTAATTTCCTAAAAGTAAAAGTAGAATGACTAAATTTAAAATGCACGAAGGTGCAAAAGAAATTACAACATATTGAAACCTTTTCCATAATAAATATATACTACATAATTGATTTATACATTTTTAAGGCAGCGGCATCATCAATTCTACAAATCTGTAAAATAAACAAAAACTTCTCGACACATTTATCTACTTATTTTATGATAAGACATTTTACATACAACTTTTATAAAATAATATTTTTAATAAAATGCCCAAAAAATTGAATACTATAAAATTCTATGAAACTAAACGAAGAAATAGATGTCAAAATACAACTAATTTCATTAGAAATTAAAAAAGTTGGTAAACAAGAACCGATATTTTAAAAAATATATTTTATTCAAAATTAGATAATATATTCGAAATATAAGATTTAGTGTTTAAGAAAATTAAATATTAAAAAATGGAATTAATAGTTTGACATTTAATTTAAAAATGAATAGTCGAGATAACAAATTTTAATGTACTCGAACCACAATTTTGTTTTATTGGCATGCACGTGTAAAGTAAACCAAACTCTAATCTCAGTGCCCGAAACTATATTTCTTAGTTCTTGGAAGTTAATCTTCAAAGTAATTTAATAAATTTTCAAGAAAAAATATTCTCTTACTCACAACCGAAGTAAGCGTTAGAGTAAGACGTCTTTCATACAATAATATTTTATTGGAATTTTGAAACGGATCTAATAAAAAGTTTGATTAAGTAAACCTTGGTATGAATGACACCTTGTTTTTTTATGTAGCTTTGATAACGATTGCTTAATCTGTTTACTTGAAATAAAAAAAAAATAGCGTGTACATACACATGTGATGCACTTAATGCAAATACAAATAAGTCAAAATGCTTAAAATGTTACCACATACGTTTTGCTTTTTTTTTTCGATTAAATTATATATATATATATATATTTAAAAATAAATATAATATAATAGTTTCTGAATAACTTGGGATTAAAATGAAATGGACGCATTTATATAAAATGAAAAGGTACATGAGTTACATTCACTTTGTTTTTTCCCACTTTTTGTTGCCAGCCAACTTTTAAACCATAGGGGTAGGGTTTGCTGGTACGGGGTAGAACATGCAACCGGATTTTATTTGCCAGTAACTTTTTGTTTAACATTTTTACATTCGGATTTTGCAGGACCATCCGGTCCACTAAACATAATGTCAACGTCGACAAGTTTTACATTTTTGCATGGAAAAATTCCACTGCAAACGAGTTTGACAACTTCTGGAGGCTCAGCCGTACCATGAATGTTCTTGAAGCTGATGTTGCTTAGTTTAAAATTCGATTCTGCCTGTTAGATCAAAGTACTTGTCGGATTATTGATTAACTCTTTTCTTTGTATTGGGTTTTTTTACAAGTATGTACATACATCCATTTTGCATTTATTCCATGGGCAATATTTCTGGTCAATCAGGACGGGAAAACTAACATTCTTCACAATGATATCCTCAAAATACATATTTGATGCTATACCAGGAAATTCACTTGCCCAAGTCTTGATTCTAACACCATTCGAAGTATCAGTCAAGGTACACTTCGACACTTTAATTCCTTCAACAGGTTCATTGTTTGAAAACTTTCCAAGACTACCGATACTGATTCCATGTCCAGGTCCAGAAGTTACTCCCGTGATGTCCATATTTTTGGCACCATCCCCAATTAAAATACAATCATATACAGTTTTGATATCCGTGTCTATAATTTTAACTCCATCTGATCTCATGATGTCAATCCCATCTGTGTTTGTGCTAACTTTAGGTGCAGATACAGTGACATGTTCGAAAGTAATGCTTTTACATCCCAAAACATTAGCGTGGAACTGTTTTCTATCTCTGAGAGTTATAGGTTGTACCATTGCATTGGTCAAATAATCAAACCTTACATTATGTTTAATTTAGGAGTTAAAAGAGTCACGAGAAAAAAATATGTATTAGTTATAACTACTAAGAAAAATATCAAATTCTTGCGAAAGGTAAGAAACCTTATGATGGGGAGGTTACTACAGAAGTCGTGTTTTTCGCAACCTTCACTCTTATAAGAAGTGGTTCCTTATCCATCGAATACTCATCCACCGAACAATTTGACGTTTTCAATATGAAGGAAGCTAACCCATTTAGGCTCCTTGAAAGCTTTAGGATCAGCTGGTGCTTTTACGTTGCCCTCAAGTTGAAGCTCAATAGGAGCCTTTCAAGGACCTTCCAGCGTTGCTTGACTTAACAAATATGTCCCTTCAGGAATCAAAATTGTTGTTGGAGTTGTTGAACCACAAGCTTCTTTCCAAGCATCCAACAATGGCTAAAACAAAATAGATTAATAAAGAAATTATACATGTTTTCACCGTTAGAGTATTAAAGTGACCTATAATTTTGCTTACCTTACTGAAATCTGTATTCAAGTCAGCCTTTACGCAAAACTTAGCTACGACATCAAGAGCAGCTGCTTGAGCTTGCATGGCTGCAATGAATAAATTTAATATTATAGACACTATACAAAAAACAATAAAATTTATTGCCATATCCTTTATTTTATTTTCACTTAAAGGTAGAATGGTTTTTCCTTTTGTTTACTTTCAAATATATAGAGATGTTTCGGCAAACTACAACCAACAAAAATTTCAACCAAACCTTTTTCAAATTTAACCAACGTGTGTAAATTGTATGGCTAGACTTTACTTTCTATGATTAGCTTGTGTTTTTATATATACCTGACTCGGTTGGATAAATTTTTGGTTAGTTTGTTCAAAAACTTGAATCATGCAAATTAAGTAAAAGTATTTTTATCAATATTACTTAAAAAGTGTTTTGGGACTATATCGAGACACGATTCAATATAACAGTAAACATGCATAATGTTTAGTTTCTAAAAAACTTTACTTGACATTTTCCTAATACATAATTGTTTAGTATTCATATAACTAATTTCTAATTCTAAAGTATATCATGTACTCATAAAAGCTTTGAAACTCAATCATCTACAAAAGAACCGTGAAAAATAGTTCAAACAATTGTTTGCTTTAAAATTTTCAATCGACTTGGTGATTGTGTTAAATCAAAATGTTAAAACTTGATTACATGGAATTGACATTAGCACAGGGAAGGGGAAGTAAACTTTAATACGTCAAACCACACATTCCAATTGGAATAATTACCTAATTTCCTAAAAGTAAAAGTAGAATGACTAAATTTAAAATGTACGAAGGTGCAAAAGAAATTACAACATACTGAAACCTTTTCCATAATAAATATATACTACATAATTGATTTATACATTTTTAAGGCAGTGGCGTCATAAATTCTACAAATCTGTAAAAGAAACAAAAATTTCTCGACACATTTATCTACTTATTTTATGATAAGACATTTTACATACAACTTTTATAAAATAATATTTTTAATAAAATGCCCCAAAAATTGAATACTATAAAATTCTATGAAACTAAACGAAGAAATAGATGTCAAAATACAACTAATTTCATTAGAAATTAAAAAAGTTTGTAAACAAGAACCGATATTTTTAAAAATATATTTTATTCAAAATTAGATAATATATTCGAAATATAAGATTTAGTGTTTAAGAAAATTAAATATTAAAAAATGGAATTAATAGTTTGACATTTAATTTAAAAATGAATAGTCGAGATAACAAATTTTAATGTACTCGAACCACAATTTTGTTTTATTGGCATGCACGTGTAAAGTAAACCAAACTCTAATCTCAGTGCCCGAAACTATATTTCTTAGTTCTTGGAAGTTAATCTTCAAAGTAATTTAATAAATTTTCAAGAAAAAATATTCTCTTACTCACACCCGAAGTAAGCATTAGAGTAAGACGTCTTTCATACAATAATATTTTATTGGAATTTTGAAACGGATCTAATAAAAAGTTTGATTAAGTAAACCTTGGTATGAATGACACCTTGTTTTTTTATGTAGCTTTGATAACGATTGCTTAATCTGTTTACTTGAAATAAAAAAAAAATAGCGTGTACATACACATGTGATGCACTTAATGCAAATACAAATAAGTCAAAATGCTTAAAATGTTACCACATACGTTTTGCTTTTTTTTTTCCGATTAAATTATATATATATATATATTTAAAAATAAATATAATATAATAGTTTCTGAATAACTTGGGATTAAAATGAAATGGACGCATTTATATAAAATGAAAAGGTACATGAGTTACATTCACTTTGTTTTTTCCCACTTTTTGTTGCCAGCCAACTTTTAAACCATAGGGGTAGGGTTTGCTGGTACGGGGTAGAATATGCAACCGGATTTTATTTGCCAGTAACTTTTTGTTTAACATTTTTACATTCAGATTTTGCAGGACCATCCGGTCCACTAAACGTAATGTCAACGTCGACAAGTTTTACATTTTTGCATGGAAAAATTCCACTGCAAACGAGTTTGACAATTTCTGGAGGCTCAGCCGTACCATGAATGTTCTTGAAGCTGATGTTGCTTAGTTTAAAATTCGATTCTGCCTGCTAGATCAAAGTACTTGTCGGATTATTGATTAACTCTTTTCTTTGTATTGGGTTTTTTTACAAGTATGTACATACATCCATTTTGCATTTATTCCATGGGCAGTATTTCTGGTCAATCAGGACGGGAAAACTAACATTCTTCACAATGATATCCTCAAAATACATATTTGATGCTATACCAGGAAATTCACTTGCCCAAGTCTTGATTATAACACCATTCGAAGTATCAGTCAAGGTACACTTCGACACTTTAATTCCTTCAACAGGTTCATTGTTTGAAAACTTTCCAAGACTACCGATACTGATTCCATGTCCAGGTCCATAAGTTACTCCCGTGATGTCCATATTTTTGGCACCATCCCCAATTAAAATACAATCATCTCCAGTTTTGATATCCGTGTCTATAATTTTAACTCCATCTGATCTCATGATGTCAATCCCATCTGTGTTTGGGCTATCTTTAGGTGCAGATACAGTGACATGTTCGAAAGTAATGTTTTTACATCCCAAAACATTAGCGAGGAACTGTTTTCTATCTTTGAGAGTTATAGGTTGTACCATTGCATTGGTAAAATAATCAAACCTTACATTATGTTCAATTTAGGAGTTAAAAGAGTCACGAGAAAAAAATATGTATTAGTTATAACTATTAAGAAAAATATCAAATTCTTGCGAAAGGTAAGAAACCTTATGATGGGGAGGTTACTACAGAAGTCGTGTTTTTCGCAACCTTCACTCTTATAAGAAGTGGTTCCTTATCCATCGAATACTCATCCACCGAACAATTTGACGTTTTCAATATAAAGGAAGCTAACCCATTTAGGCTCCTTGAAAGCTTTAGGATCAGCTGGTGCTTTTACGTTGCCCTCAAGTTGAAGCTCAATAGGAGCCTTTCAAGGACCTTCCAGCGTTGATTGACTTAACAAATATGTCCCTTCAGGAATCAAAATTGTTGTTGGAGTTGTTGAACCACAAGCTTCTTTCCAAGCATCCAACAATGGCTAAAACAAAATAGATTAATAAAGAAATTATACATGTTTTCACCGTTAGAGTATTAAAGTGACCTATAATTTTGCTTACCTTACTGAAATCTGTATTCAAGTCAGCCTTTACGCAAAACTTAGCTACGACATCAAGAGCAGCTGCTTGAGCTTGCATGGCTGCAATGAATAAATTTAATATTATAGACACTATACAAAAAACAATAAAATTTATTGCCATATCCTTTATTTTATTTTCACTTAAAGGTAGAATGGTTTTTCCTTTTGTTTACTTTCAAATATATAGAGATGTTTGGGCAAACTATAACCAACAAAAATTTCAACCAAACCTTTTTCAAATTTAACCAACGTGTGTAAATTGTATGGCTAGACTTTACTTTCTATGATTAGCTTGTGTTTTTATATATACCTGGCTCGGTTGGATAAATTTTTGGTTAGTTTGTTCAAAAACATGAATCATGCAAATTAAGTAAAAGTATTTTTATCAATATTACTTAAAAAGTGTTTTGGGACTATATCGAGACACGATTCAATATAACAGTAAACATGCATAATGTTTAGTTTCTAAAAAACTTTACTTGACATTTTCCTAATACATAATTGTTTAGTATTCATATAACTAATTTCTAATTCTAAAGTATATCACGTACTCATAAAAGCTTTGAAACTCAATCATCTACAAAAGAACCGTGAAAAATAGTTCAAACAATTGTTTGCTTTAAAATTTTCAATCGACTTGGTGATTGTGTTAAATCAAAATGTTAAAACTTGATTACATGGAATTGACATTAGCACAGGGAAGGGGAAGTAAACTTTAATACGTCAAACCACACATTCCAATTGGAATAATTACCTAATTTCCTAAAAGTAAAAGTAGAATGACTAAATTTAAAATGTACGAAGGTGCAAAAGAAATTACAACATACTGAAACCTTTTCCATAATAAATATATACTACATAATTGATTTATACATTTTTAAGGCAGTGGCGTCATAAATTCTACAAATCTGTAAAAGAAACAAAAATTTCTCGACACATTTATCTACTTATTTTATGATAAGACATTTTACATACAACTTTTATAAAATAATATTTTTAATAAAATGCCCCAAAAATTGAATACTATAAAATTCTATGAAACTAAACGAAGAAATAGATGTCAAAATACAACTAATTTCATTAGAAATTAAAAAAGTTTGTAAACAAGAACCGATATTTTTAAAAATATATTTTATTCAAAATTAGATAATATATTCGAAATATAAGATTTAGTGTTTAAGAAAATTAAATATTAAAAAATGGAATTAATAGTTTGACATTTAATTTAAAAATGAATAGTCGAGATAACAAATTTTAATGTACTCGAACCACAATTTTGTTTTATTGGCATGCACGTGTAAAGTAAACCAAACTCTAATCTCAGTGCCCGAAACTATATTTCTTAGTTCTTGGAAGTTAATCTTCAAAGTAATTTAATAAATTTTCAAGAAAAAATATTCTCTTACTCACACCCGAAGTAAGCATTAGAGTAAGACGTCTTTCATACAATAATATTTTATTGGAATTTTGAAACGGATCTAATAAAAAGTTTGATTAAGTAAACCTTGGTATGAATGACACCTTGTTTTTTTATGTAGCTTTGATAACGATTGCTTAATCTGTTTACTTGAAATAAAAAAAAAATAGCGTGTACATACACATGTGATGCACTTAATGCAAATACAAATAAGTCAAAATGCTTAAAATGTTACCACATACGTTTTGCTTTTTTTTTTCCGATTAAATTATATATATATATATATTTAAAAATAAATATAATATAATAGTTTCTGAATAACTTGGGATTAAAATGAAATGGACGCATTTATATAAAATGAAAAGGTACATGAGTTACATTCACTTTGTTTTTTCCCACTTTTTGTTGCCAGCCAACTTTTAAACCATAGGGGTAGGGTTTGCTGGTACGGGGTAGAATATGCAACCGGATTTTATTTGCCAGTAACTTTTTGTTTAACATTTTTACATTCAGATTTTGCAGGACCATCCGGTCCACTAAACGTAATGTCAACGTCGACAAGTTTTACATTTTTGCATGGAAAAATTCCACTGCAAACGAGTTTGACAATTTCTGGAGGCTCAGCCGTACCATGAATGTTCTTGAAGCTGATGTTGCTTAGTTTAAAATTCGATTCTGCCTGCTAGATCAAAGTACTTGTCGGATTATTGATTAACTCTTTTTCTTTGTATTGGGTTTTTTTACAAGTATGTACATACATCCATTTTGCATTTATTCCATGGGCAGTATTTCTGGTCAATCAGGACGGGAAAACTAACATTCTTCACAATGATATCCTCAAAATACATATTTGATGCTATACCAGGAAATTCACTTGCCCAAGTCTTGATTATAACACCATTCGAAGTATCAGTCAAGGTACACTTCGACACTTTAATTCCTTCAACAGGTTCATTGTTTGAAAACTTTCCAAGACTACCGATACTGATTCCATGTCCAGGTCCATAAGTTACTCCCGTGATGTCCATATTTTTGGCACCATCCCCAATTAAAATACAATCATCTCCAGTTTTGATATCCGTGTCTATAATTTTAACTCCATCTGATCTCATGATGTCAATCCCATCTGTGTTTGGGCTATCTTTAGGTGCAGATACAGTGACATGTTCGAAAGTAATGTTTTTACATCCCAAAACATTAGCGAGGAACTGTTTTCTATCTTTGAGAGTTATAGGTTGTACCATTGCATTGGTAAAATAATCAAACCTTACATTATGTTCAATTTAGGAGTTAAAAGAGTCACGAGAAAAAAATATGTATTAGTTATAACTATTAAGAAAAATATCAAATTCTTGCGAAAGGTAAGAAACCTTATGATGGGGAGGTTACTACAGAAGTCGTGTTTTTTGCAACCTTCACTCTTATAAGAAGTGGTTCCTTATCCATCGAATACTCATCCACCGAACAATTTGACGTTTTCAATATAAAGGAAGCTAACCCATTTAGGCTCCTTGAAAGCTTTAGGATCAGCTGGTGCTTTTACGTTGCCCTCAAGTTGAAGCTCAATAGGAGCCTTTCAAGGACCTTCCAGCGTTGATTGACTTAACAAATATGTCCCTTCAGGAATCAAAATTGTTGTTGGAGTTGTTGAACCACAAGCTTCTTTCCAAGCATCCAACAATGGCTAAAACAAAATAGATTAATAAAGAAATTATACATGTTTTCACCGTTAGAGTATTAAAGTGACCTATAATTTTGCTTACCTTACTGAAATCTGTATTCAAGTCAGCCTTTACGCAAAACTTAGCTACGACATCAAGAGCAGCTGCTTGAGCTTGCATGGCTGCAATGAATAAATTTAATATTATAGACACTATACAAAAAACAATAAAATTTATTGCCATATCCTTTATTTTATTTTCACTTAAAGGTAGAATGGTTTTTCCTTTTGTTTACTTTCAAATATATAGAGATGTTTGGGCAAACTATAACCAACAAAAATTTCAACCAAACCTTTTTCAAATTTAACCAACGTGTGTAAATTGTATGGCTAGACTTTACTTTCTATGATTAGCTTGTGTTTTTATATATACCTGGCTCGGTTGGATAAATTTTTGGTTAGTTTGTTCAAAAACATGAATCATGCAAATTAAGTAAAAGTATTTTTATCAATATTACTTAAAAAGTGTTTTGGGACTATATCGAGACACGATTCAATATAACAGTAAACATGCATAATGTTTAGTTTCTAAAAATCTTTACTTGACATTTTCCTAATACATAATTGTTTAGTATTCATATAACTAATTTCTAATTCTAAAGTATATCACGTACTCATAAAAGCTTTGAAACTCAATCATCTACAAAAGAACCGTGAAAAATAGTTCAAACAATTGTTTGCTTTAAAATTTTCAATCGACTTAGTGATTGTGTTAAATCAAAATGTTAAAACTTGATTACATGGAATTGACATTAGCACAGGGAAGGGGAAGTAAACTTTAATACGTCAAACCACACATTCCAATTGGAATAATTACCTAATTTCCTAAAAGTAAAAGTAGAATGACTAAATTTAAAATGTACGAAGGTGCAAAAGAAATTACAACATATTGAAACCTTTTCCATAATAAATATACACTACATAATTGATTTATACATTTTTAAGGCAGTGGAGTCATAAATTCTACAAATCTGTAAAAGAAACAAAAATTTCTCGACACATTTATCTACTTATTTTATGATAAGACATTTTACATACAACTTTTATAAAATAATATTTTTAATAAAATGCCCCAAAAATTGAATACTATAAAATTCTATGAAACTAAACGAAGAAATAGATGTCAAAATACAACTAATTTCATTAGAAATTAAAAAAGTTTGTAAACAAGAACCGATATTTTTAAAAATATATTTTATTCAAAATTAGATAATATATTCGAAATATAAGATTTAGTGTTTAAGAAAATTAAATATTAAAAAATGGAATTAATAGTTTGACATTTAATTAAAAAATGAATAGTCGAGATAACAAATTTTAATGTACTCGAACCAGAATTTTGTTTTATTGGCATGCACGTGTAAAGTAAACCAAACTCTAATCTCAGTGCTCGAAACTATATTTCTTAGTTTCTGGAAGTTAATCTTCAAAGTAATTTAATAAATTTTCAAGAAAAATTATTCTCTTACACACACCCGAAGTAAGCGTTAGAGTAAGACGTCTTTCATAGAATAATATTTTATTGGAATTTTGAAACGGATCTAATAAAAAGTTTGATTAAGTAAACTTTGGTATGAATGTCACCTTATTTTTTTATGTAGCTTTGATAACGATTGCTTAATCTGTTTACTTGAAATAAAAATAAATAGCGTGTACATACACATGCGATGCACTTAATGCAAATACAAATAAGTCAAAATGCTTAAAATGTTACCACATACATTTTGTTTTCTTTTTCTGATTAAATTATATATATATATTTAAAAATAAATATAATATAATATAATAGTTTCTGAATAACTTGGGATTAAAATGAAATGGAGTCGTTTATATAAAATGAAAAGGTACATGAGTTACATTCACTTTGTTTTTTCCCTCTTTTTATTGCCATCCAACTTTTAAACCATAGGGGTAGGGTTTGCTAGTACGGGGTAGAACATGCAACCGGATTTTGTTTGCCAGTAACTTTTGGTTTAACATTTTTACATTCGGATTTTGTAGGACTATCCGGTCCACTAAACGTAATGTCAACGTCGGCAAGTTTTACATTTTCGAATGGAAAAATTCCACTGCAAACGAGTTTGACAACTTCTGGAAGCGCAGCCGTACCATGAATGTTCTTGAAGCTGATGTTACTTAGTTTAAAATTCGATTCTGCCTGCAAGATCAAAGTACTTTCGGATTATTGATTAACTCTTTTCTTTATATTGGGTTTTTTTACAAGTATGTACATACATCCATTTTGCATTTATTCCATGGGTAGTATTTCTGGTCAATCAGGACCGGAAAACTAACATTCTTCACGGTGATATCGTCAAAATACATATTTGATGCTGTGCCAGGAAATTCACTTGCCCAAGTCTTGATTCTAACACCATTCGAAGTATTAGTCAAGGTACACTTCGACACTTTAATTCCTTCAACAGGTTCATTGTTTGCAAACTTTCCAAGACTACCGATACTGATTCCATGTTCAGGTCCACAAGTTACTCCCGTGATGTCCAGATTTTTGGCACCATCCCCAATTAAAATAAAATCATCACCAGTTTTGATATCCGTGTCTATAATTTTAACTCCATCTGATCTCCCGATGTGAATACCATCTGTGTTTGGGCTATCTTTAGGTGCATATACAATGACATGTTCGAAAGTAATTTTTTTTTACATCCCAAAACATTAGCGTGGAACTGTTTTCTATCTCTGAGAGTTATAGCTTGTACCATTGCATTGGTCAAATAATCAAACCTTACATTATGTTTAATTTCGGAGTTAAAAGAGTCACGAGAAAAAAATATGTATTAGTTATAAGTACTAAGAAAAATATCAAATTCTTGAGAAAGGTAAGAAACCTTATGATGGGGAGGTTACTACAAAAGTCGTGTTTTTCGCAACCTTCTCTCTTATAAGAAGTGGTTCCTTATCCGTCGAAAGATCATCCACCAAACAATTTGAAGTTTTCAATATGAAGGAAGCTAACCCGTTTAGGCTCCTTGAAAGCTTTTGGATTAGTTGGTGCTTTTACGTTGCCCTCAAGTTGAAGCTCAATAGGAGCCTTTCAAGGACCTTCCAACGTTGCTTGACTTAACAAATATGTCCCTTCAGGAATTAAAATTGTTGTTGGAGATGTTGAACCACAAGCTTCTTTTCAAGCATCCAACAATGGCTAAAACAAAATAGATTAATAAAGAAATTATACATGTTTTCACCGTTAGAGTATTAAAGTGACCTATAATTTTGCTTACCTTACTGAAATCTATAGTCAAGTCAGCCTTTGCGCCAAACTTAGCTACGAAATCAAGAGCATCTACTTGAGCTTGCATGGCTGTAATGAATAAATTTAATATTATAGACACTATACAAACAACAATAAAATTTATTGCCATATCTTTTATTTTATTTTCACTTAAAAGGTAGAATGGTTTTTCCTTTTGTTTACTTTCAAATATATAGAGATGTTTGGGCAAACTACAACCAACCAAAATTTTCAACCAAACCTTTTTCAAATTTAACCAACGTGTGTAAATTGTATGGCTAGACTTTACTTTCTATGATTAGCTTGTGTTTTTATATACACCTGGCTCGGCTGGATAAATTTTTGGTTAGTTTGTTCAAAAATTCAATCACGCAAATTAAGTAAAAGTATTTTTATCAATATTACTTAAAAAGTGTTTTGGGACTATATCGAGACACGATCCAATATAACAGTAAACATGCATAATGTTTAGTTTCTAAAAAACTTAACTTGACATTTTCCTAATACATAATTGTTTAGTATTCATATAACTAATTTCTAATTCTAAAGTATATCTCGTACACATAAAAACTTTGAAACTCAATCATCTACAAAAGAACAGTGAAAAATAGTTCACACAGTTGTTTGCTTTAAAATTTTCAATCGACTTAGTGATTGTGTTAAATCAAAATGTTAAAACTTGATTACATGGAATTGACATTAGCACAGGGAAGGGGAAGTAAACTTTAATACGTCAAACCACACATTCCAATTGGAATAATTACCTAATTTCCTAAAAGTAAAAGTAGAATGACTAAATTTAAAATGTACGAATGTGCAAAAGAAATTACAACATATTGAAACCTTTTCCATAATAAATATATACTATATAATTGATATATACATTTTTAAGGCAGCGGCGTCATAAATTCTACAAATCTGTAAAAGAAACAAAACTTCTCGACACATTTATCTACTTATTTTATGATAAGACATTTTACATACAACTTTTATAAAATAATATTTTTAATAAAATGCCCCAAAAATTGAATACTATAAAATTCTATGAAACTAAACGAAGAAATAGATGTCAAAATACAACTAATTTCATTAGAAATTAAAAAAGTTGGTAAACAAGAACCGATATTTTTAAAAATATATTTTATTCAAAATTAGATAATATATTCGAAATATAAGATTTAGTGTTTAAGAAAATTAAATATTAAAAAATGGAATTAATAGTTTGACATTTAATTTAAAAATGAATAGTCGAGATAACAAATTTTAATGTACTCGAACCACAATTTTGTTTTATTAGCATGCACGTGTAAAGTAAACAAACTCTAATCCCAGTGCTCGAAACTATATTTCTTAGTTTTTGGAAGTTAATCTTCAAAGTAATTTAATAAATTTTCAAGAAAAATTATTCTCTTACTCACACCCGAATTAAGCGTTAGAGTAAGACGTCTTTCATACAAAAATATTTTATTTGAATTTTGAAACAGATCTAATAAAAAGTTTAATTAAGTAAACCTTGGTATGAATGACACCTTGTTTTTTTTTATGTAGCTTTGATAACGATTGCTTAATCTGTTTACTTGAAATAAAAATAAATAGCGTGTATATACACATGCGATGCACTTAATGCAAATACAAATAAGTCAAAATGCTTAAAATGTTACCACATACGTTTTGCTTGTTTTTTCCGATTAAATTATATATATATATATTTACAAATAAATATAATATAATAGTTTTTGAATAACTTGGGATTAAAATGAAATGGACTCGTTTATATAAAATGAAAAGGTACATGAGTTACATTCACTTTGTTTTTCCCTCTTTTTATTGCCAGCCAACTTTTAAACTATAGGGGTAGGGTTTGCTAGTACGGGGTAGAACATGCAACCGGATTTTGTTTCCCAGTAACTTTTGGTTTAACATTTTTACATTCGGATTTTGCAGGACCATCCGGTCCACTAAACGTAATGTCAACGTCGGCAAGTTTTACATTTTCGCATGGAAAAATTCCACTGCAAACGAGTTTGACAACTTCTGGAAGTGCAGCCGTACAATGAATGTTCTTGAAGATGATGTTGCTTAGTTTAAAATTCGATTCTGCCTGCAAGATCAAAGTACTTGTCGGATTATTGATTAACTCTTTTCTTTATATTGGGTTTTTTACAAGTATGTACATACATCCATTTTGCATTTATTCCATGGGCAGTATTTCTGGTCAATCAGGACCGGAAAACTAACATTCTTCACGGTGATATCCTCAAAATACATATTTGATACTGTGCCAGGAAATTCACTTGCCCAACTCTTGATTCTAACACCATTCGAAGTATCAGTCAAGGTACACTTCGACACTTTAATTCCTTCAACAGGTTCTTTGTTTGCAAACTTTCCAAGACTACCGATACTGATTCCATGTTCAGGTCCACAAGTTACTCCCGTGATGTCAAGATTTTTGGCACCATCCCGAATTGAAATACAATCATCACCAGTTTTGATATCCGTGTCTATAATTTTAACTCCATCTGATCTCCCGATGTCAATCCCATCTGTGTTTGGGCTATCTTTAGGTGCAGATACAGTGACATGTTTGAAAGTAATGTTTTTACATCCCAAAACATTAGCGTGGAACTGTTTTCTATCTCTGAGAGTTATAGCTTGTACCATTGCATTGGTCAAATAATCAAACCTTACATTATGTTTAATTTCGGAGTTAAAAGAGTCACGAGAAAAAAATATGTATAAGTTATAACTACTAAGAAAAATATCAAATTTTTGCGAAAGGTAAGACACCTTAAGATGGGGAGGTTACTATAGAAGTCGTGTTTTTCGTAACCTTCTCTCTTATAAGAAGTGGTTCCTTGTCCATCGAAAGCTCATCCACCGAAAAATTTGAAGTCTTCAATATGATGGAAGCTAACCCATTTAGGCTCCTTGAAGGCTTGGTGCTTTTACGTTGTCCTCAAGTTGAAGCTCAATAGGAGCCTTTCAAGGACCTTCCAGCGTTGCTTGACTTAACAAATATGTCCCTTCAGGAATCAAAATTGTTGTTGGAGTTGTCGAACCCCACCATGAACTAACTTATTTGGTGGTGGTTGGTTTAATGGATGTTTAGACTTTATTTTGATGATATATTTGAGTTTATTTTGGTTCTTTATTTGATTTTCTTATGAATGCTTAATCATCTAGGCTTGTAAGAGGCATGGAAATGTCCATTTCTTAGATGAAGTTTAGGTATTTGGGAGAAACCTAAGCTAGAAATACTTGAAAGTATTTGAGAGAACCGCAAGATAAGATCCTCATAAGCAATGGGTTATAGTATTTCCAAGGGGATTTGAACTGGCCTAGGGATATTACAACCTAATACCTTAGATCTCTGGAGATACTAGGATAGGATTTCAACGACTAAAAAGGGTGTTTTTATCAATAGGGTAGGCAGGCCAACATCGTTGAGTGAGAGCAGATGCCTTGACATCCTATTCTATTAGGTTCCTTTGAAAACATTTTAGGAAAGCCCTGTCGAGCAAGTAAAGACTAGATAACTTAGATATACCTGAGAAATAAGTTTAGCATCCTTAAATCAATCCCTACCATTCATTCCATTGGAAGCTTGTCACATGAGGATTATTTTCTTTTCATTTTATTTACTATTATTTACCATCTTTCATTGCCTCGACATTACATCATTTTCAACACTAAACATCTTATCTTGCCATTACATTTCCATCTGCTACACTATCAGACCATTCATCTACATCCACCTTCATACACATTTTCATTTTGCCGTGACATTTGTATATATAAAGACTAACTATACATAGATAGATTAGTGCTTTGCTTTGGTTAGACTTTCGTAATTTCACCCAATCCCTATGGAGACGATACTCACTCATCACTGTATTACTTGAGTGATTGTGTATACTTGCACATTATTTGCGTATATTTTATAGTACTCACAACACACAACAAGTTTTTGGCACCGTTGCCGAGGATTGGCAGCCTGAAGTTATTTGTTTTGCCAGAGCATTTTATTTTGTCTTGCATTTTTATTTGTGTATAGTTTACTTTATATTTTTTATTTTAATTTTCAAGTTTATCTAGTGTATGCCTAGAAGAAATTCTGAAGAGCCTTTAGAACCGATAGAACCTGAGATTGAAAGATTCTTTAGACAAAGGAGACGAGCACAACGTGCTAGAGGAAATATGTATCAGATTAGAAACCAAGGCATTGGTCAGGATGACGAAAATTAGAATGCCGCGACATTAGGAAATGCTGAACCTGCTAGTAGGCCGCGTGTTATTCGTGATCACTTAAATCCGATGCTGGATGATCTGAATCCTGGGATTATGGCACCCGACATTCAAGCTGCACATTTCGAGCTGAAACCAGTCATGTTCAATATGTTGAATTCCATTGGGCAGTTTGTATGCCAAATGAAGATGCCAGGCAGCACATTCACAATTTTCTAGAAGTTTGTGATTCTTTTCGATAAGAGGGAGTACATAAGGATTTTCTGAAGTTAAAGTTGTTCCCGTATTCATTGCGTGACCGAGCAAGGGATTGGTTGAGTGGTGGTTCGATGGAATCATGGGCTGATCTTTGTAAGAGTTTCTTATTGAGGTACAACCCACAGAACATGAATACACAGCTAAGGAATGACATATCATCTTTTCTCCAGGGCGACGACGAATCCATGCATGAGTGTTGGGATCGTTACAAGAGTTTGCTTCGAAAGCGTTCAAATCATGGTTTTCACGATTGGACTCAAGTAGTCATGTTCTATAATGGATTCAATGCACCCACGAGGATGTTTTTGGATGCCTCGGTAAATGGACATTGCTAGATAAATCACCTACTAAGGCATTTGCTATCTTGGATAGAATTGCTAATAACGATTATCAGTTTCCTTCCTTAAGACTTGGGAGTGGGAGGAGATCACCTGGAGCATTTGAGTTAGATATCAAGGATTCAGTGTCTGCTCAACTCTCAACTATCACCAATATACTGAAAAACTTACAACGTTCTAATGAGGTGAAGGAAGTGAAAGCAACTAGCTTGGCATGTCTGTTATTCCAAGGCAATCATCATGAGAGAAAATGCCCAAACAATCATGAGTCCATCAACTTTGTAGGCAATTACAATCGAGGCAACAACAATCCTTACTCTAACACTTATAATGCTGGATGGCATCAGCACCCCATTTTCTCATGGGAAAATCAAGGAGCCCACAATACTAGTCAACCTACTCGGCAGCAGACTCATAATGAGCCTCAAGGTTACCAAAATACTATGCTATGGCATAATGTTAACAAATGAGCTTCAACTTCAGCAAACATGAGTTCCTTGGAAGCTACAATTCAAGATTTCATATCTACTATAAAGACAATGCTGCAAGACTATTCTACTTCAATTAAAAATCAAGGAGCTTTACTTCATAGTCAAGGCGCCTTACTTCAAAGCCATAGCTCGTCTTTGAGAGCTTTGGAAGGTCAAGTTGGTCAGATTGCTACGGCATTGTAAGAGCGTCAGCAAGGGCGATTTCTATGTGATACTGAAGTCACTAAAGGGCCTGGAAAAGAGCATTGCAATGTGTTAACTCTTAGGAGTGGAACATAAATCAATCAACAAGTCAAGGCTAATGCGCCACAACATGATGACTCTACTCCCACTACTGAAAGTGGTAAAGCTGAATTGCAAGATGATACCATTACTGAGAAGGACAAGGATGAGGGTTCTACTGATGATTCAACTAAGGCACCATATTCTGATGCCAAGGCAAAAGCAATTCCTACTACTGCAGTTAAGGAAGCGAGACCTCCACCACCCTTCCCGCAAAAATGAAGAAGCATAGTGATGAAGTTCAGTTCAAGAAGTTCGTGGGCATTCTTGATCAGCTCCATATCAATGTACCTCTCTTGGAAGCTATTGAACATATGCCAATGTATGCCAAATTTCTGAAGGAAATCTGTACCAAGAAGAGGAAAGTAGAAACTGTTGCCACGATAACAGAACTTTGTTCTTCATTGAGTAAGTTGCTGCCAAAACGAAATGATCCGGGCAGCTTCATAATTCCTTGTAGCTAATTTTGTTGGAAAGACACTATGTGATCTTGGCTCAAGTGTCAAATTAATGCCGAAATCGATATTCTTGAAGCTTGGCATAGGTGATGCAAGACCCACCTCGGTTATTTTACAACTTACCGACAGATCCCATGTTAAACATGAAGGGAGAGTCGAGGATGTTATAATACAGATGGATAAGTTTGTGTTTCCAGTTGACTTCTTAATTTTGGACTGCGAAGTTGATGCCAAGGCACCGATTATTCTGGGAAGACATTTCCTAGCCACTGGACGTATATTGATAGACTGTGAAAAAGGTGAACTCACCATGAGAGTGGCCGATCAGTGTGTGACTGTCAATGTGTTTGGAACAATTACCTAATTTCCTAAAAGTAAAAGTAGAATGACTAAATTTAAAATGTACGAAGGAACAAAAGAAATTACAACATATTGAAAGCTTTTCCATAATAAATATATACTACATAATTGATTTTTACATTTTTAAGGCAGCGACGTTATCAATTCTACAAATCTGTAAAAGAAACAAAAACTTCTCGACACATTTATCTACTTATTTTATGATAATACATTTCACATACAACTTTTATAAAATAATATTTTTAACAAAATGCCCCAAAAATTGAATACTATAAAATTCTATGAAACTAAACGAAGAAATAGATGTCAAAATACAACTAATTTCATTAGAAGTTAAAAAAGTTGGTAAACAAGAACCGATATTTTAAAAAATATATTTTATTCAAAATTAGATAATATATTCAAAATATAAGATTTAGTTTTTAAGAAACTTAAATATTAAAAAATGGAATTAATAGTTTGACATTTAATTTAAAAATGAATAGTCGAGTTGACAAATTTTAATGTACTCGAACTGCAATTTTGTTTTATTGGCATACACGTGTAAAGTAAACCAAACTCTAATCTCAATGCTCAAAACTATATATTTTTTAGTTTTTGGAAGTTAATCTTCAAAATAATTTAATAAATTTTCAAGAAAAATTATTCTCTTACTCACACCCGAAGTAAGTGTTAGAGTAAGACGTCTTTCATACAATAGTATTTTATTGGAATTTTGAAACGGATCTAATAAAAAGTTTGATTAAGTAAACCTTGGTATGAATGACACCTTGTGTTTTTTATGTAGCTTTTATGACGATTGCTTAATCTGTTTATTTGAAATAAAAATAAATAGCGTGTACATGCACATGCGATGCACATAATGCCAATACAAATAATTCAAAATGCTTAAAATGTACCACATACGTTTTGTTTTTTTTTCCGTTTAAATTATATATATATATATATATATTTAAAAATAATATAATATAGAAGTTTCTGAATAACTTGGGACTAAAATGAAATGGACGCGTTTATATAAAATGAAAAGGTACATGAGCTACATTCACCTTGTTTTTCTCTCTTTTTATTTCCAGTCAACATTTTTTTTCTCAGCAATCAGAAGTTTTTATTAAAATTCATAGGATATCCCCAACTTGAGCCTCATTAAAAACCCCCTAATCCTAAATGGGGGAAAAGAGTGCTCAAAATTGAGAAAAAACACCAAAGCTCATAACATGAATTACCCAAAATGTAGATGAAGCACAACTTAAACCAAAACTACCCCACCTTACCAAAGAAAAAAAAATCTCCATAATACCCAACCCCTAACCAACATTAGACAAAATCCTAATAACCTCCATTTCGATCAAATTAACATTCAAACCAGGTACACAATAAAACTACTAGGATAACTCCCTTTCTACATATCACCAGCTAGCCTTGAACAAAACTTTCCTCTTGGAGTCCATATTTGCCAAGTAATTTGCCATATTATTAGTATTCCTAGGCGAGAACGCAAACTTCAACTCGGATATCTTCAGTGCATTAACATCAATTCCCTGAAAAATTACCCCCCTCCATGGTCGAGCTGAGACATTTTGTATCCAGTTCAGCACTACCTTTGAATCAAATTCAACGATCAAACCAGTCTTCCCACACCAGCAAGATTCAACAAACACGTCTAATGCAGTTTTGATAGCTACAAGCTCCGCAAAATCTGAATTGAACTCTGCTACCGGCCCAAAAAAACATTGCTACTACATAACCTTCTGCAGTCCTCAAGACTCCCCCATACCCTGCTGACTTATTCGTTGCTGAGCCATCCACATTGAACTTCATCTGGCCCGACACTAGCGGCTTCCAGACAGACTTGGGACTTTGCTGTACACTTAGACCCGCTGACTCCCCTGGCCAATCCCACCAACGTTTCTCGTCTAAAACATTAAAAACCTTCAACGCCTTACACCAAGCATAAGCTCTCATCTTCACATATACCAGTAGGTCTTTGAGTTTCGTGCTTTTACTCTTAAAAACTAGATCATTCCTAGCCAACCATAGGCTTCATAACGCTGCTACAAAGCTTACAAACCAAGCCAAGGCTATAGATTCTGACCATCTAAACTGAAAACAAAACTAAAAAATTTCATCCACTGTCTGCAAATTAAAGCCTAGAATATGCCACCACTTGCAGAAAGCATTCAAAAAACAAGCCATAAAAATACAAGACACAAACAGATGATTCACATCCTCTTCAGCATCTCCATACCATGGGCACAAGCGTTGAACATCGGATAACTTAATCCCTCTATTAAAGAGAAATACCTTAGTTGGAACTCTGTTCAATTTAAGCATCCATAGGAAATATTTCACCTTCGGTGGGACTTTTAGATTCCATATTTTGTCAAAAAACGAACATTCATCTTCAAAATACCCATCACTGAGGAGCAGCTCGGTCAATTTCTTAACCTTAAACAAACCATCAGTCTCATGCACCCATACAATCCGATCAGTCACAGACGAATTAAAACTCACATCGTCCACATCACGTTTTATAATTTGAACAATAGTTAATTCCCTGACAAGCAATTTTCGCTTGAACAAAACTGTTGTATCTAAATTTTTCCATTCACCTGTAGATATCATATCACGCACCGTAATATATTTCTTCAACGCTAACATGTAAATATGAGGATATCTTGATCTTAAAGAACTTTCCCCAAACCACACATCCTCCCAAAATAATGCTAATTTCCCATCACCCACTACCCACCAGAATGATTCTCCACTCATCCATTTAGTTGTACCTTCACTAGATAAATTATTCATGATCACTCTCCATGTTATTGAAGCTTTCTTGTTATCTCCAAGACTAACCAACCAAGGGAGATCACCTAAACCATATTTGTGACTAATTACTGACCTCTATAATGCCCCTCTTTCAGTTGTAAATCTCTAACCCCACTTAGCGAGTAACGCCATATTCTTTGCCTTTAGATTAACCCCACAAAAAACCTCTTCTAATCTTATCAATTTTTGATACAACCATTTTTTGAACATGGAATATCGACATATAATACAACGACAACATTGAAAACACTGAATTAACGAAAACCACTCTCCCAACAAAACATAGCGTCCTGCTTTTCCATCCCACCAATTTAGCTTTAAACTTTTCAATTATAGGTTCCCACGTCAAAATTCTTCTGGGATCTGCACCTAACGGAATTCCCAAATATTTAAACGACAATGCGCACACAGAACAACCACCCAAATGAGCTAGCTATTTTAGTTTATCCTTTTCAACCTTCACCCCTGCTAAGCACGACTTCCTGAAATTAATGCTTAAACCCAAACCCAATTCAAAGCATTTAAGGATTCTCTTAACATTGACTAGACTTCTTTGATCTGGATGACTGAACAATATCGTATTATCCGCAAATTGCAAATGTGAAATACTTATATTTGGTGCCATATTTTCAATACCATCAATGTATCCTTTGCGAACAGCTCCTTCAAGTAAAAGATGAAGAGCCTCAGTTATCATTATGAAAAGCTCCTTGGTATTAATGACACCTTGTGTTTTTTTATGTAGCTTTGATGACAATTGCTTAATCTGTTTACTTGAAATAAAAATAAATAGCGTGTACATGCACATGCGATGCACATAATGCCAATACAAATAAGTCAAAATGCTTAAAATGTTACCATATACGTTTTGTTTCTTTTCGATTAAATTATATATATATATATATATATATTTAAAAATGAATATAATATAGAAGTTTCTGAATAACTTGGGATTAAAATGAAACGGACGCGTTATATAAAATGAAAAGGTACATGAGTTACACTCACTTTGCTTTTCACTCTTTTTATTGCCAACCAACATTTAAACCGTAGGGGTAGGGTTTGCTGGTACGGGGGTAGAACATGCAACCGGATTTTGTTTTCCAGTTACTTTTGGTTTAACATTTTTACATTCGGATTTTGCAGGTCCATCCGGTCCACTAAACGTAATGTCAATGTCGGCGAGTTCTACATTTTCGTATGGAAAAATACCACTGCAAACGAGTTTGACAACTTCTGGAAGTGCAACCGTACCATGAATGTTCTTGAAGCTGATGTTACTTAGTTTAACATTCGATTCTGCCTACAAGATCAAAGTACTTGTCAGATTATTGATTAACTCTTTTCATTATATTGGGTTCTTTACAAGTATGTACATACATCCATTTTGAAATTATTCCATGGGCAGTATTTCTGGTCAATCAGGACGGGACAACTAACATTCTTCACGGTGATATCCTCAAAATGCATATCTGATGATGTTCCAGGAAATTCACCTGCCCAAGTCATGATTCTAACACCATTCGAAGTATCAGTCAAGGTACACTTCGACACTTTAATTCCTTCAACAGGTTCTTCTTTTGCAAACTTTCCAAGACTACCGATACTGATGCCATGTCCAGGTCCACAAGTTACTCCCACGATGTCTAGATTTTTAGCACCACCCCCAATTGAAATACAATCATCACCAGTTTTGATATCCGTGTATATAATTTTAACCCCATCTGATCTCCCGATGTAAATCCCATCTGTGTTTGGGCTATCTTTAGGTGCAGATACAATGACATGTTCGAAAGTAATGTTTTTGCATCCCAAAACATTAGCGTGGAACTATTTGCTATCTCTGAGAGTTATACCTTGTACCATTGCATTGGTCAAAAAATCAAACCTTACATTCTGTTTAATTTCGGAGTTAAAAGAGTCATGAGAAAAAATATGTATTAGTTATAAGTACTAAGAAAAATATCAAATTCTTGCGAAAGGTAAGAAACCTTACGATGGGGAGGTTACTACAGAAGTCATGTTTTTCGCAACCTTCTCTCTTATAAGAACTGGTTCCTTGTCCATCGAAAGCTCCTCCACCGAACAATTTGAAGTTTTCAATCTGAAGGAAGCTAACCCATATAGGCTCCTTGAAAGTTTTAGGATCAGCTGGTGCTTTTACATTGCCCTCAAGTTGAAGCTCAATAGGAGCCTTGCAAGGACCTTCCAGCGTTGCGTGACTTAACAAATATGTCCCTTCAGGAATCTGTCGTAACCGTCTTTCGGTTGGTTCCCGGAATTGGGCTTCGACTTAGAAAAATGTGGATTAGAGTCGCCACCGATCATTTATTTAAAAATAAATGGGTTGATCGGATACCCTATTTCTTACCTGATCTGCGTCTTACCAGAAATATGTCGGGCTCGGGAGTCGGTTACGGTCAAGGAAGGATTAGCACCCTTGAACCGCCCTTTCGGTACTACGTAATTTCCAGTTGTCTTAATTAAGAAAAATAACAAGTTAAATTAAAAGATAAAATAATGATCCAAAATTACTTACCTTTGACGGATTTACAAATATACCCTTTAAAAGTCAAAATATGGGTTAGAAGAGATGAATAAATGATAAATAAAGTAAAACAAATAAAATAAGGAGATTAAGAAAGAAATAAAGTAAATATAAAATGAATAGAATATATAAAATAAAAAACAATAACACTAATATATGCATAGCAAACAACTAAATAAAAATAAAATGATAATGCAAATAAATAAATAAAACAAGTAAAAGAATATAAAAACATAAAATATAGGATAAATATAAAAATAGATAAATAAATGAGTAAAATATATAAAAAAGTAAAAGCATATATATATAAGTAAAATAATAATAATAAAAAAAAGAAAATCAAAAGTAATATACGTATATATACATGCAAAATAGGAAATATATATATATATATATATATATATATATATATATATATATATATATATATATATATATATAATAACACTAATAAAAAAAACATATACATATATAATAAAATTAATAGAAAGTAATATGCATATATAACAAGAATAATAAAGTAGGAAAAAAATGATTTAGGGGGGAGAATTAAATATTTTAAAAAAATGAACACGCCTCGGGGGTGGATTTAGGTTCAAAACTTCGAAATCCCACCCCTTTTTAGTCATCGGCGCAACCCACGTTTTGGGTTATTCGAACCAAATCTCAAGAAAAATAACGTGCACATGCGAGAAATGAACGAACCAATGTAAAAAAAGATGTTACCTTTTATTTCCTTTTCGAATCGTTTACAACAACTTTGCCTTTGTATTTTCCGTGCTTTCCTCTGTGTTTTGTGTGTAAATCGTGTGTTACAATGGTGAGTTACAATGGCTATTTATAGTGCTTGTGGATCCTATCTTTAGGAATTTAAATATAGTAGAACTCTATCCTATTTTTTGAATCCTAGCAAAATTCTATCCTATCTTTAGGAGTTTGAATTCTAGTAGGACGAAAAGGTGTGTTGACAGCTGCCCCTCTTTGCCCATAGTCGTGTAACGGGGATAGGGCAAAGATTAAAAGACACACTTTTCGTTCAGTGGAGTTGAAAATTGACTCTGATGTTTCAATAACTCCCTGTCGAATTGAGTTACGGATGACTCCTCCGTCGTGAAGCCGAGTTCATCTTGGAATGATATGAAATTGAAGCCGTAGTTCAGAATTTGAATCAGAACGTGGCTTCTCGTTGCCCTTCGGTCTTCTTCTCGGTTTAAAGACCTTGGATCGGAATCGAACTCAGAAATCTTCATTGACATATAGCTTTTGTTTGAAAATGGTTGCTTGTCACTAAGGCACGGTTAACCCAGGTCCTCTTCTCGACTTGAAAATATCGACTGCAACCGGAAAGTAGTGTGATTGATGTGTCATCGAGATGAATGGAATCGAACTCAACAATTTTGATGGCAGATAACCCTTCTAGCATTGAGTTATGCTGTAAATGATGTGCCTTGGAGCTGAGCGTAGTCGAACTCGAAGGTCTTTGTTGACATATATTCCCTTTTTGAGTTGGATATCCTTCGCCGTGAAGTTGAAATCCAATCTAAAGATGGATGATGCTTGTGTGCACGATTCCCTTCGTCGTGAAGTTGAGCCTGAAATTGGATATCCTTCGTCGTGAAGTTGAAATCCAAGTAAGTAGCATTGTTCAGAGTCCAATATCCTCCGTCGTAAAGTTGAAATTGAATCTGAATGAAATTTTGTTGACAAGCAGCGGTCCCTTCGTCGTGAAGTTGAACTTGCGTTGTCTGGAGTCCAATATCCTTCGTTGTGAAGTTGAAATTGGCTCTGAGATTGGGAAGTTGTTGTTGACAAGCAGCGGTCCCTTCGTCGTGAAGTTGAACTTGCATTGTCTGGAGTCCAATATCCTTCGTTGTGAAGTTGAAATTGGCTCTGCGATTGGGAAGTTGTTGTTGACAAGCAGCGGTCCCTTCGTCGTGAAGTTGAACTTACGTTGTCTGAAGTCCAATATCCTTCGTTGTGAAGTTGAAATTGGCTCTAAAATTGAGAAGTTGTTGTTGACAAGCAGCGGTCCCTTCGTCGTGAAGTTGAACTTGCGTTGTCTGAAGTCCAATATCCTTCATTGTGAAGTTGAAATTGGTTCTGAAATTGAGAAGTTGTTGACAGGCAGCGGTCCCTTCGTCGTGAAGTTGAACTTGCGTTGTCTGAAGTCCAATATCCTTCATTGTGAAGTTGAAATTGGCTCTGAAATTAAGAAGTTGTTATTGACAGGCAGCGGTCCCTTCGTCGTGAAGTTGAACTTGCGTTGTCTGGAGTCCAATATCCTTCGTTGTGAAGTTAAAATTGGCTCTGAAATTGAGAAGTTGTTTGTTGACAACCAGTTGTCCCTTCGTTGTGAAGTTGAACTTGTGTTGCCTCGAGTGCCACGATATCCTCCTTCGTGGAGTTGAAATCGCAGATGGCCCCTTCGTTGTGAAGTTGAGCCTTGACTTGAATATCCTTCGTCGTGAAGTTGAAATCCAAGTATTGTATGTTGCGGGTGGACACAATTCCCTTCACCGTGAAGTTGAAACCGTGGAGTCCCCTTTATTGTGAAGTTTGGCTTCGAGCTAGATATCCTTCGTCGTGAAGTTAAAATCCACTCTCGAGCAAATCGTGTCGCTTTGAGTTCAATATCCTTCACCGCGAAGTTGAAATTGACTCTAGCTAAAACCTGAAAAAGTTATGCATATATGTGATGCTATGGATGCAATGCTCTTAGGTGTGCCTAAAATGCATATGCAACATATGTTATCTTGGGGCTCTGGAGAGAAATCTCGATCTCCAGTTGCCTGTCTGGAATCTTGATTCTTGAATCTTCAAATTTTGATCCCTGATCTTGAATTCTTCAAATGTTCAAATCTGATGTGCACATTCTATTTTTGATTTGAGAAATGCTTCTCGACCATCTCAAGTATGTGCCTGAGCTGAGTGTAACGGTTCAGATGATGCTTCAAAAGAAGTTGTCTTGAAAGAGATATAATTCGTTTCAAGGGAAACGATCTCAAAGATATCTGTTGTTTCATGAGAAACGGTCTCAAGGGAAACAAAATTATGTTTTAAGGGAAATAAATTTGAAGATTTTATGTTTCAAGAGTAACTGTCTCAAGGGAGAAAAAATTTGTTTTAGGGGAAATAAATTCAAAGGTTTTGTTTCAAGGGAAACTGTCTCAAGATAGACGAAAATTGTTTCAAGAGAAACTGTCTTAAGAGAGACAAAACTTAGTTCCAAGGGAAACTATCTCAAGAGAGACGAAATTTATTTCAAGGGAAATGTTTTCAATGTTTATGTTTCAAGAGAAACTGTCTCAAGAGAGACAAATCTTGTTTTAAGAAAAACAATCATGAGTGAAATAAATCTTCTTTCGAGTAAAACAGTCCCAAGTGAGACAAAGTCTGTTTTAAAAAAGCAATCTCAAATGAGATAATCATCTGCATTAAATGACACTGTCTCAAGAGAGACAGAATTTATATTGGAAATGTCGAATCTGAAAATGAATGTCGATCTTTCTATCTGTCGAGTTAGTTGAAGTGTAGCTTCTTGTTGCTGAGCTAAACAACCGACATCAATCTGTAAAGGTGCTTTTGAATCGAGTATCCTTCGTCTTGAAGTCGAACTTGACTCTAAAGCTGTAAAAATTATGTACGTGGAAAGAAAATGATAGATATGATGCTCTAAAATGTATGCATAAGATGCATGTAACATGAATTGGTTATATTTTATCTCCTGAAAAAGGTCTGATAATTTGCATTAGGATGTTGAATCCCCAAATATGCCCCAATATCAAAAAATGCCCCAATATTTGATGTTGAATCTTCAAAGATGCCCCAAATGTTCCTCATTTCTTGCTTCATCATTGATTCTGAGCACGAGCTTTATGTCTAAGAGTCACATGTCATTTACCAAGATCCACTCTAGAGAGACTGTCTTGTTTGAAAAAAATGTTTTTCTTTCTCTTTTATTTTTAAAGTTCTGAAAATATCAATTAAAAGAGTTTTGAAAGATGTTTGATCCAAAGTTTTGAAAATATTGTCACTTTCACGGTTTTACAATTGAGACAAATCATAAAACTAGAGTTCATCGGATATCAAAGAATTAATTACAATGTTAATCCTTCAATAAATTATAGCTATTTGACATGTGCCAAGATCAAAGCTATTTTGGGGAAATGGTCAAGCAAAGAAAGGATAAAAAGTCTCAGGTTATTGTGTTTGGTCAAAGGTTTGGCATTTTTGTTCATTTGATGCTAAACGGTTTGAAATTTGATGCTCAAAGGTTTGATGGGGTAGCTTGCATGCTCATCTACTAGAAGTGTTCTCCGACTCCCAGCTTTTATGGTCACACTCGGATTGTGTGATGCCTTATCGAGGAATTTGTGTGATCGCCTCAGTTGCACAATTTTTATATTCGAGCCGCCTTTTCAGGTTTTCAACTCGAACACTCCTTTGGTTTCAAGACGTTATTCAGGATTTACGTCTTGAACCCCCCTTTGTTATTTTTCTCTATCATACATTAATTACATTGTTTTTTGCAAACAAAGATTAATCCTGATGGGCGGGATGAAATCTGAAGATAGTCTCTCCTGTTTAGAAATCCATGTATGATTAGAAAGGACTTTTAAGGCACGTAATGTAGGCCAGGGTTCATGGTTATGAAAGAAAAGGATAAATAGGCCCAAACAAGTGTTTCGGGGTG